TTAAAAACCCCATGCTTTAAAACTGCTCCTGGTCTGGTGGGAAATCTTTCTGTATATAACATTTGATGATTCAGTGACAGTCTTAAAATAGGCAGATCTCATCTATTGACTAATATTCTGAAGAAATATTTTTATTTCAGATTTTTGATGTCAGAACTGATTAAAGGATCTGGGAGAACCTTTACAGTATTACTAAGTGGGGCGGCATCCGGAGGTGCCATTGTGTGACAAAGCAAAACCAACCCCAGCTTTCCCACATGTGTATGAAATAGAATTAGACATCTATCCACCTCCCTACACCCAAACTTCAGGTTTTAAAAAAATGGAACCTGATCTGAAGTATCCCTCATTGTGATTTTACAAGATGAATAGCTGACTCGGGTTTTGCCAAACCAACACAACCTCTGCTTTTGACAAATGCTGCCTTACAAGGAAATGACATCTCTCAAGGGGCAAGAGATTGGACTAATTTTAGTGAATTGTATGCTGTGAAACCAAATTTCCCCTTTAAAAAGGCACTGTAAAACAATTCATGTTTAATTTAATAATACACTACCAAGAATATAGTAATTTAGTAATACATTATCAAAAATATAACTGAGGGGAAATAGAAGAAGAGAGGAGATAGCAAGATACAAAGCTGATGGGGGGGAAAGGGTGATGGAAGAAAAAAGCAGGGAGGTGGCAAGGGCGGAAAAATATACAACAGAGACATGATAAAACTTAAAGATTTTATTACTTAAAACCTAAAGGTCAACTTTAAAATATAGTTGAAAAAGTGAAAGAATGTGATGAAATAGATCAGACAGAAGGAGGTGCATATGCTAAAATTTGCCTAGGACATCAAAAGCCCTGATCTAATCTCTGCTTTCAAGAATTTTGTAAGAAAACTGAAAATTGCATTTGCTTTATTACTGTATTCCCATTCCATAGCCAGTGTTTCCTGGTGGGCTTTTTCGTGTGTGTGTTGCTCATTGCACTGTGCTTTTATTGATTTCTACAAGGATTTCTTCAAGCAAAAATAAGCATTTCCATCACTTTACAGGCCTTACCTACTTCTCTGTCAGTTTTTACCAACCTCACATTTTCCAATTATACTTGTCTGTCATTTGACATTTTTATCTGACAAGTAAATTAAGGTCATCAGGAAGAGTCAGGCTTGAAGAGACCCTTTGTATTGATGTGGCTAGTTGAAGAAAATCCTAATATATTGGACTCTGACATATCTGCCATCATGGTAGAAGAGAACAAGAGGAGCAAAATAATCACTTTCTAAGAGTATACAGTCCCAGCTAAGAATCATACTAGTTAAAGACAGAAAAGCTAAATTTAGTCATTGAGTTCATCCCCCTCCATGTGCAGGATATAGTCCTGGTTAGAGGACTAATGTTGTTAAATTGATATATTACACTTCATTTTAGCTAAAAAGCCAAGAAACAACAGTTCTACTAAACAGAAATGATCCAGGAAGCCTGACTAAAGCTCTTCTGAGTTTTCTGCATGACGGTTATTTGGGCTACGGAACCAATTTTTATCATCAACTCTATCCTTCTCCAATATCCAAAACTTTAGTTATCAGGAAAGAAAGCTTCAGATTGTCCATTTAGCAGCAAGTGTGTATTAAGGATGTCCAGGCACAGGTAGTTAGTGTATCTGAACCCCCATCATATTCCTTCTGCACCTGCTGAATTCATTGCTCCTGCATACCTTTTTTTTTCTATTAAACTCATCTTGAAAGGGCTGCAGTTTGTCCTCTAGTCCCCACTTCAAATGCTGGCAATATGCACTCATTTAACATTTCCTTCTCTTGTTATGGCTTTAAAATGTCTCTAGCCTTAACAACCTCTGCAGCAGTTTAGCAGGGGCCCCAACAGTTGAGAGATGGTATTCAACATTTGATCTGAAGGCCTGGGATGATGATTATTATTTGCACTGTTACTTGTGTCACATCATTTTTGTTAACTTGATTTTTTCCAAGTAAATATGACTCTATTGAATATAACATGATGCAAAGTCTAAAGTCATTCCCACAATATCACTAGTTACTGTTTGGGAGCTTAACTATTTAGTGAGTAGTTGATAAAAGGTTTCAGTGTATCTTTCATTCAAAGATGTATGTATCTAACTTGTCTGTGAAGAGTTTAAGACCACAGATACTGAATGCAGTATTGTAATTTATTGTCTGTACATATTTCCATTAAATTATAGAGACAGAAACCTAATGCCAGAGATTTAATACATTGTTTTTATTGCAAATTGGACATAAATTACTATGGTTTTTATTTGCTTTGACTACTGTTGCAAAGATAGCTCATGCTATTTATTAGTTGCTAAATCACTCAGAAATATTATTTAAAGTCCAAATGTTCCCTCTTGGATACAACATTTTTATGAGGCTTTTGACAGTTTGTGACACCCAGAATACTGTACACAAAGTACTGTGTAAGAGGCTACATTGTATTGAGGCTTCTCCTCAGAGGATCCCAGATGATGTACCTACATTTGAATCAACGGAGGCCCCAGGAGAGCTGCATGTTGTGCTTTCTGAGCAGTGCACAATTGCATGAAACCAGATTTTGTTTTCTTGATGAAGCTGAGGTTGGTCTCTTTCCTGCATTTGTTGAGGTCAGCTAAAACACCCAGTACTATATTTCTACCAGTGTCAGAAGGTCCCTAATAGGGCCCCTGTTCTCAATTCTCAAAATACTACATATTTCATAAAAACTAACAAATAGAGAACAGATGGAAATGTACTGGAGGGTGATAACTTTCACATAAAATTAGGTGCAGATAAAGATCCTCAGGATTACAGAGCAAGAGAGACAGAGACAATAGAGCCAAATCCTTCTCTCATTCATAGAGCATCTAATAGACTGAGGCCTTGAACTGGCCTCTAGGCACTACTGCATTATAAATGTTTAATATTAATAATAATAATAATAATTAATAGGATCAGACTCGCAGAGTCAATATTTTTCAGGTGATTTGCTTAGACCCAATGTTTGTTGGAGAAAGTGATAAGAACAGACAAATCTTGAGAACAACATTTTTTGTTGCTTGGATAGAGTGCAGGGAGCTAACAGATGAGCCTGCACTCAGATCACTCTGACACCCATTAGTTCCCCTGAAGAAAACTGATTGGGATTATTATAGGTAATTAGTGAATCAGACTGATGGGCTGGCTGAGCTAATGAGCCAATTAGCCCATCAGCTCAAGATTGATAAAGAGGCAGAGGAAGGAAGTGCCAGGTGAAGAGGAATACGGGTAGCTGAGTCCAGTCTCACAGAGGCCTCAGGGAAGGGAGACTGCTCCTCTGTGGTCCTGAAGGGAGGACGAAAAGCACAGGGGATATTGTAAACAGTACTGTTGCATAGGACTGTTGCATAAAGTTGCATAAAGTACTGTTGCATAAAGATGTTGGTGGAGGGAACTCCAATGGTACAGTGAATACACAGCCAGCAGAGTCGGAGCTGGTTTCTGGGGTGCAAACAGGCAGGCTAGGGATCATGTTCCGCTACAGTTGCCTTTCACCAAAGCACCTTATAGTTAAAACTGTACAAATATGTTAGCAGCCTGAAGAGCCTGTGCTGCGAAGGACGCTGAATAAGAGTCTTGTCTCTGACTTCTGTGGGGCTCAGTTATATAGTCCATATTCATACAATACTGGAAGATTTTCCCACAGAATGAATGCAGAATTGGGCTTAGTGTTAAGCTGACTAAATAAATGTGCTGTCAATGTGTCTAGAAGTTTGCTAAACTTGGACCCTGGCAAATTGCAAGAGTCTGAGGGTACGTCTTCACTACCCGCCGTATTGGCGGGTAGCGATCGATTTATCAGGATCGATATATCGCGTCTCGTTAAGATGCGATATATCGATCCCCGAACGCGCTCCCCGTCGACTCCGGAACTCCACCAGAGCGAGCAGTGGTAGCGGAGTCGACGGGGAAGCCGCGACCGTCGATCCCGTGCCGTGTGGACCCCAGGTAAGTCGATCTAAGATGCTTCGACTTCAGCTACGTTATTCACGTAGCTGAAGTTGCGTATCTTAGATCGATCCCCCCGCCCCCAGTGTAGACCAGCCCTGAGAATTCCATAGGCCTTCCTCTGATCATCCTGTAAAGCTTATACTCAAGAAACCACAGTGATCTTAGCAACTGCGACAGAATATAAAAGAAGTGCCAGTTTATTCATATAGCCAGGCCACAACCCATTTAGGATTTTAAATATATTTTTAAAATATTTGAATATAATTGCTTTGCCAAAACCCTTATAAACCAATTCCACTTCATGAGTTTTATTTTCTTGTGTTTGGAAAGAACACAAAGCATTATTTTTTACTATTATCTTATTACTATTATTATTACAATTATCTAGTATTGTACAGCATTGGGCTCTTTTAAATATGGGGCCTGATTTTCACACTATAGTTGTGTGTGCAACTGTGTACTTTGCATGCACACTACTTCATGTACACATTGCTAGATTGAGAGTCTCTCTAGATATCTGTATGTGGTAGTGTACGTGCATGCTATATGGATAATTACAGGACAATGCAGTGTAGGTTTGAAAATCAGGTTCAATTTAAAATTTCATAATTATTGGCTATTTTTATGAGCTGATAGCTCCAGGAGCTGGACAGTCCAGTAATTTTGACTGTAATTTTTAAGCGTTGACAGGCAGGAGCAGAAGTTTCAGGACCAAATAACAGAGGAGAAAATGTTCGCGCAGTTCCCAGGTACCTCTTTAATCTCTCTCTGTCAAAACTGCCTCCCCACCTTCAGGAGCAGTGTAGGGAACTAACTACCTGCCCGTTGACCTCATCTCCTTCCCTCCACAGGCAAATTCCATCCACTGTCTTCATTAGCCACCAGAGAAGTCATTGCAGCTTTCAGTTCTCATAGAGTAATCAGGCATTTGGCTGCTGGAATATTATGATCCTTTCTGCATGTATCCCACTCATTGAAACTTTAACCCCTCTTCTCTGTGTTTCTGTTTCAGCTTCTGATATAGCTGCGGAGCAGGGGCAGATTCTTGTAATTGCCACTGCTGCTGTTGGTGGATTCACTCTCCTGGTTATCCTCACTCTGTTCTTCCTAATCACTGGGAGGTAATTCACATTACACTGTACTAGTTCACGTAGGGTGAGAGTCATCCCAATGAGTGGGCTCACCTTAGTTAAATCATTACTCCATAGCTTATGTGGCGAATAAGGCCCTTTGCAGTCCAAATGTCCTGGCGTCAATGTCACCCTTATTGAGTGTTGACAGCTCTCCCAATTTCAGTGAGACTCTTCTAATATTTGGTGTTTTGTTTAAAGCCCCACTCCTAGAGTCATGTGATTAGGTGAGAATCGCTGCATTCGTTTTTTCTAGCCCTCCTTGCCAAGAAAAGCTTGAAAACTTGGTCCAAGTACACCCTAAAGGTTCGGAAACCAGAAGGCAAATAAAAAGAATCCCAAATATATTTTTTATTTTAAATCTCATGATTTTAAGCCAATCTCATGATTGGGGGGGGGCTTGACTCATTATTTGGTGTGCTTGCAGTTAGCAACAGTGCGTACTCTATTAACCTATTTTAGTAGCCTATTTTTGTGACCACTTTCTGTATTAAACTTTAAAAAAAATACATATCCAACAATAGATGTAGCAATTGAAATACACAAAGAGAAAATATGCTTATTGAAATCTATTGCCTGATCAACGTTTGATTTTTTTATATATCTTGTTTATGAAAACAGTCCAGTCTAGTGATAGAATCATGGTTTTACTAATCTAAGTATAGATCGGAAAAGTGGTACCAGAAGCAGAGGGAGGACAACTAAGAGAAATGTGATCAACTTAAGTAAAGGAAAAATTAATCGAAAACCATTAGAATTAACATACTAAGAGTAATACTAATTAGATTGTAGAATAGTCTCCCCAAAGGAAGTGGTCAGAGTCCTATTTGCTTGGGATTTTTAAAATTAGACTGAACAAAGCCCTATTAAATCTACTTTAGCAAACATTGATGCATTAGGAGGGGATGCACTAGATGACCTATTAGGACTTACCCAATGATTCTCTTATTCCATTTCCTTCCTTGTAATACAATACTGACTGTTCAGCTTGCTTCACTTGATATGATGATCACGATCTAATACTGACACTGTGTTAATTGGATGAGGAGTTGCTTTTATTCTATTGACCAGATTCTGCTCTTCCTTACCCAAATGTAAATCTGGAGTAAATCCATATAACCTCAGTGGAGTTACTACCATTTTGCACAGATGTAACTGAGATCAGAACCTGGCTCCCTGCCAGTGTGGGGAATCATGTGTCTCAGATCCTTCACAAAGAATATCCATGCAGCAGTCTCCTCCTCCCATGTGGAAAAATGGACTCAACCACTTCCACAGCTCCACCACCCCTGGGCCCCAGGGTGGCCTCTCTCTCACTCCAAGGTTTCACAAGAAATGAGTATGACAGCCAAGAAAGGAGAGGGCCAGATGGACAGACATCACCCCTGCCCTGTACCCGATTCAGTTTCCAAGAAAAAGACAGTGTGTTCCCACTCTCTTTTGTGCCTGGGATCCCTACGGCCAGTGAGAGTCACCGGTCGTGCAGCTTCTCTGGGGTTGTGCTCTAGGAAACAGGAAAAGCTTCAGGGAGACAAAGCTTCTCTAGAGACATGAGGAGACTCCACAGAGAGGTTCTTTTGTTTTCCTGAGAGGTAGGAGGTCCCACAGCCTGTTTCATGGGGAGGGGTTGTGTATGCACAAACCGTGGACTCCTTTCCCCCACACAACATAATGAAGTGGAAGTATCTCCAAAGAGGACTTGTTAGTGAGTTCCTCCATCTGTGCCGCACCTGTTTTTTGGGAGGGAGGGGGAATCTGTGGATTGCGTGGAACTGAACACTGTATTTGCACTCCTGTTTAGAATCTAAGCTTTCATTTGGTTGGCAGAGGAAGTTCTAGCCCTCCTGAATGTGAATATATCCGTCATTATGTGAATTAATGCACTGCTCTCTTGTGAAGCCTGTAACATGACAGACTAAAAAACAATAGAACCAGTGGGTGTTAACATTCCATTAAGATAAATGGGAGAAGTTAACTTCAAAGACTAATTGTGACAAATTAAATATTAAGAGTGTAAGCAGAGATCTTTACTAGTAGCTACTGCTGTAGATACTGGAAAATATTATATTGTTTCAGTGGAAATAAGGATGGATTCAGCCTACAAAGACAGGAAATTTTTGAAAGAAATGATTATGTAGAATCATCAAGTGGAATTCCTGAAAAACAGTGTGAATGCCTCTCTTAAAAGTAACTCAGTAATGGAATAAGATTAGTATTGATGTGGATATTCTTGAATTCTTTCTACTTTCATTCTTTCTCTTTGCTAATGTTAAGAACATCAGAGGTTCTTTTAGCTTTCTAACACCTTACTGAATGGAACTTTTCAATTACATAAGATATGGATTCAGTTTGAAGTATCTCTTAAACATAGTGATAAGACAGTATTCATTGGAAATTATTCTCTGAAGACAGAGTGAGAAAATTTTGGATAAATACTCAATTTACTATAGGATTTGAGGCACATTTCAGTGTGAAAGATTGGATTGGTACCCTACAGATGTGTTCTGCTTCACTATTTAGAATTAGCAATTTGATGGACTGTCGAATCACAAGGCTGCTGATGAGTCTATTCATATTGAAGAGGCATGGTGAGATAAGCACCTGCTTGTGACTTCAGTGAATGATTATCCACTAAGAGCAAATAGGAAGCATTTCCATCAGTTTCAAATATTAAAATGAAAGATGCAATGACTTAGAGCCACAAAAATTATGGGGGATGGTTGGCTAAATTCCAGGGAATGCAGCATTAAAGCCTGGTATGATTTATTTTGATCATTAGGGAAATTATTCCTCAGTGTTTTGTCCTAAACTACCAATAATGAAAACATGTCAAAAACTGAGAGACTCGCTGTTACAACACAGATGAGCTCTCCCTGCTGGACATGCACTAAGCTGCTGCAATGGACAGTGGTGCTCATCACCATTTGCATGTTACACATGGTGCATACCATTGGCAGTGGCAGCACCACCCATGGAGTGAAAAAGGGCTATCCAGTGAGGGAAAAAGAGAGCCCCTAAATGGAGTGGGTTTGCTACCGAGTTCATGGGATCACAGTGCCACTTACTGCAATTTTCCCGACAGATCCTCTGTCACAATGGAGGGACCATCAAACCAAACTCGAATGATGCTGCGACCCCTAAAGTGAAGGTGGTTCAGCTGAGTGTACCATGTCAAAAATTTCTGGGAGTACCCTTGATACTGGATGCAAACCTTTGGTGCCATGTGCTCTTGACTTGCTGGGGCTAGGCAGAATTGAGGCACTGTCTCTCAGGTTCCAGGTGTCTAGGCATAAACTCCAGGTGCAGATGCCATGTCTGCCCCCACTCTTGACATTGAGAACACTGTGGTCCAATTACCTAGGCCCTGAAACTAGTGCCAGCTCTCTCAAGCATCCACAGAAGCTGTTGCATGCTCTCAAAGTTCCACCTACACTGTGGACCCATTGATTTACTGTTTCCCTCTTTGAAACTATGTGACAGTGTAAGGAAGAGACGCTGCAGAGGGATTGCTAAACACCCACACCTTTTGTCACAAAAAGCATACAAGACGTACAGATCCATGCAAAAATAATAAACATCTTTGCACAAATACCCTCCCTTCAGTGTCCTCACTGCTCCAAGGTAGCCTTTGGGTTTTGGTCAGTCCTTTTAGGGCAGGGGTCGGCAACGTTCGGCACGCAGCACATCGCTCGCCCGCGCTGCTTCTCGCCGCCCCCATTGGCCCTGGACGGAGAACCGCGGCCAGTGGGGGCCGCGATCGGCCTGCTTACCCTGGCGAACCGCGTGCCGAACGTTGCCGACCCCTGTTTTAGGGTCTCAACACCCTCCTGCTCCTCCTGTCCAGTCTTCTCTTCTTGTTTTGGTTGGTGAGAGAAAGCTACCAAGAGAAGAACTTGTCCTTCTTTACTTTCCAGTCCCCTCTATCAGGTAATCCTCCAGGCCAGCCTCAAAGCCTCCCTTAGGTTATCAAAGTCCCCATTAGGTGATCCTTTGCTTGGTTACAATCCACCTGAGATCCAGACGAGATGAAAACTCTTTTCTTGCAGCATACCCATTATGTTGCCAGGACAAAGTCATTCATGTTTAACAATCCTTGATCACTCTTCATTGCTTGTCTTCTGTCAACACTCTTGGAATTCCAGTCCAAGATGGAGGCAAAAAGACAACAGGCAGAGTACAGCCTCACAACCAAATGGTGCTCACAAAACAAAATGAAGTTTTTAGTTTTATATAAATACATTCAGACATATAGTTAATAGTTACACTCACACAGCTGGTTGTATGTTATTTATTCCGTATGATCACTAACATCTTCACAGAGGTGACAAAATAATGAATGCAGAGATTGGAGCAGAGGCTAATTAGAGAAAATGTGTGGTTCTGACATGGAAAAAGGGTTTTATCCTTCATGAAGCCTATTAGTGTCATAGAATCTATTACCTCTATATAGAAAAAGTGAGCTGCTTTAACCCACAGGACATTAAAGATAATAGGATCAGGTTTAAAATGCACAAATCAACATATAAAAACACACAGGCATAGCATGAGAGAGGCTAAATTCAATAATTTATCACCAGATTGCAAGGATTTTCTGTTGTTGTTTGTAGACAAAACTAAAGATAAGTGCAAACCCGAAAATTCAATATCTGGTTTGAGCTAAATTTGAAAAGTTTGGATTTATTGTATAATTTGAATTTCAGTATAGTTCATTTCACTGTTAATCACCCCAACCACATTCTATTTTTATATTTTATATGTGGCTTTTTTGTAGCTGCTCATAATACATAATCTTTCAAAAATTTGTTATCTATAAATCTCTGTAAATTCATAATAGGTAGATCTTGTAATCAAAGTAGCTTATGATGTCATGAACCTCTATAGAAAACGTAATGTGCATTTATTCTGTGTATGACAACCATTTTAACTAAAACTCTTTGCTCTTTAAAAAGATGCCAGTGGTACATAAAGGCCAAAATGAAGTCTGAAGAAAAAAGAAGGGCTCATTTGCAAAATGGACATTGTAAGTAATACAACGTTGTGTTATTTAATGCCTATGTTGCATTTTCAATTAAAGTTATATATTGTTTTCTCTATACATTTTGACCCTGATCCTGTAATTTAATCCATGTGGAAAAACTCCTTAGTTTATGCAGACCCACACTGACTGTAGGATCAAGGCCTCTCTTTTTATCTGTGCATCCTCTTTGCAAAAGTTTTTTGAAAAACTTGCATTTATTCTACTGAGCAAGTCTGCAAGGGAAAAAGTCCATCACCTTTTGGATTTCAATGTTAATAGTTTTTATCAGTTTTCCAGGCTTGCCTGTGAATTCACAACCGCTCTGTATTATATTATTCTTTATGAAGAGATTATCAATAGATTCTGCTACTGTGGTGCATGCAACTTACATATGTGAGATCAGACACTTTTGATTAGCAGTGCAGTCCTGCAGTCACTGTTCAAGTAGGACTCCTCATACCCACCTCCATGCAAATAGACTACTGCTTGTTAGTCACTAAGAGTGAAATCTGTGTGGACAATCACTCAAAAAAGAACAGTTATTCTACCCTACAGTAGCTGTGGTTGTTTGCGGTGTGTTATCAACACAGATTTCACGACCTGCCCTCCTTTCCCATTACTGCTCAGTTCTACTCCTATGGGATTCTATATTGATGAAGGAACTATGGGGCAGTTGGGCCTACTCTACAGTTTATGTCCTGAGGTGCAGGGAAACGAGGGCACTGAGGTGCAGGCACTGCCCCAATGGACACTGTTAGCCCAGAAGAATCTGATCTTGCACGCCTGGGGCACATGTGCAACAAAGGTAGAATCTCTATGGGCAATAGATCTCGAAAAACCATAGTTCCTATAGGGAAGCATTCTCTTTGCGGCAGTTTCCTGCTTCTGCTGGGAAATATGACAGATTGGGTGTGCCGAAAATAAACATTAACAGTATTCTATCTGTGTATTTACCATTTCCAGTGCTTCCGTATTGATAGTGTCTTCCTTAATGGTAATACACTACCTTCCAAGTGTTTTAACAGACTCATAATAATGGTATTACATGAAATGCTAAAATGGAGATTCAATATTTTTCTGTTGAAGAGCTACTTTTTCCCAATGCAACAAATTATCTTTAAATTAATTGAATCATCTCCAAATCTGAAGAATAGGGGCTGAGTATTCAATTGAGGGTTCATATATGCACATTTAATTATAACCTTGCTTAATTTGATCATCTTATTTACTAAAGTGCCTGATTCTTCCACACTACTCTACTCATGTAGAATAGTACCTTACTCATAATCCCATTGAATATTTACTATACTGCTTGCCTGGTCATGTAGTACTTTATGTAAGAGTAGCAGATTCACGCCCCAAATTATAAACCATCCTTTGGAAAGCAGGATGGGAGTTTGGGGGTGGAGGTCTTTATTTTTGAATGAATGAATATTCATGATGATGCAAGGTGCTGGATGAGCAGAACTGGAGACTGAAGTCCTCTATTCATCCAAATATAAGCTTCCACGCATGCTGCCCTACTTCTCCAGTGTTGCTCAAGCCCATGTAGAAAGACCACCTCTGGGGGGGGAGGGTATTGTTACTTCCATATTCATTCAATCCCTGGCAGCTCTAAAGCTGACAACAAGCATGCCAACTGTTGTAGATGTTTGGCCACCCATTCGTTTTACATAGACTACAATTTAATTAGCAATCAATTGCTAATCATTTTGGGTCATTTTCGACCTAGTCCAGATTGTGTCTGTCAACTTAAATATAAAAGGCTTAATATCCCATCACTAATGCACTGAACCATCTGTTCACTGCATTTTTTTAAAGTTAATATTGGTTATAGCATGGGAATGTTTGTTGAAGGATTTTTGACTAAAACATAAGTAAAATCTTCCTTTCTTTCCAGTGCGCTTCCCAGGAATAAAAACGTATATTGATCCAGACACATATGAAGACCCATCTCTTGCTGTCCATGAGTTTGCAAAGGAGATAGATCCTTCAAGAATTCGTATTGAGAGAGTTATAGGGGCAGGTAAAAGCATGCAGGCTTACAAAAATATTAATAATTGTCTCTCCTAGACATAGGGAAACTGCCTTACTCAACTTGAAGTCATATGGTGGTAATCAAATACTGTATCAAATATGGGCAGAGTTTCCCAACAGGCAAGGAAACTCTGGGACAGCTCTCACCCACAGTGCAAAAGGTGCAGCAGGAGTGGCAATGGAAGTCTTTCCTATCCTGCTGTTACAGAAAAATGGACGGGCTGCCCACTCTTTTGAAGAGTCCAGAAGAATAAAGTGGGAACTAGTTGCTCCCTCAAGACCATGAAAGTGTGAGTGATAAAGGTAATTGGCCTGCCTCCAGAAGAAGAGTCCAGATTGGTGGCAGTGGTAATCTGCATCTTTTAGCTTCTCCACTGAATGTTGGAGGCCAGTCCTGGGATTCTTCTTTCCTATACAATGGAGGGAGGACAGGAACCACTGCAAGTAGAAGTTCAATCCTTCCTCCATAAGGTGGCTATGGTTATCTGGGGATGTTGAGTCTTCAGAGAGCAGTACACTCTGACTTTAGGGATGAGTGGCTGAATATTTATGAGAAAATATTGTGACAGATGTATAGTCTTTGCAAAGATTTTGCTGTATTCTAAAGTTTAATTAAAAGACAAAGAAAAAAGGGTTCCTAGCTGGTCTGGTGGGGAAGATTGACAGATAAATCTAGTAGTGCCTGTCTCTATTTCCACATCCGTACAGACAGACTCCAAGAAAATGCAAACAGAGACACGAAGATAACCTATTCCTATTAAAAGGGACACTGTAGGACAAGTAGGTATGGGAAAAGTGAATATTACATTTACCGCATAACAGGAAAAAACAAAATCAATGTTGTTTGGCAAACTGTGTCACTGAGGCCACATTTTGCTCTATCATCTGACATAGATTAGATAGATCCCGAATGATATTCAGTTTGCCAAGTACTGCCAGTATGCAAATACAATTTGCAGTGTTTTCATTATTTTTGCAAACGTTAATTTTCCTTACACCTATTTCAGAGTTCCCTCTGTTGAGTCTGTCTTTCAGAAGATTCATGAATACAGGACTTTTGAGTGAAAGTGTTAAATCTATCTTCCCTTCCAGAATGATAAAACCTTTATTTTCTTTCTTTGAAAGTGTGCAGAATACAAAAAAATCTCTATGAAGACTATAAAAATAGAGCCCATGGTTTTGGAATGTTTCCACTTATTGTTCGCGCAAACATGCTCATTGATTTTAAATTCTACATTTTTTTTAAATGGTCTAATTCTTAGTTGGCCTTGGAAAGATAGTGCCAAAACTTGTCAAGCTGTGCAGAATGCAGTAGTTTTATTGCACATGAAGTTTTGTTGAATTTTCTTTTCTGATTTCATTTCATGTTGATTTTCGTGCCTTCAGTTTCGCTCCAAAATGCTAACTGAAATTCAGCCAAGACTACAGTTTCATCTGATTTCAGGTTTACACCATGCACTGAGGTTCATATGGGATGGGATTTTCCGAAGTGCCTAAAGGTATGAAGGGCACAACTCAGTTGAAACTCCATGGGATTCATGCTCCTAACTCTCTTTGGTGCTTTTTGAAAATCTCACCGTTTGTTTCCAAATTAAATCATCATCTCACCATGCTTTGTTCACAACTCAGACCAGGTTCACTGAAAAGTTTGCAAAATCCGACCAAAATCCAGGCTAGATGAAATTCTTCCAATTTAGGGGATTTTGTTGTGAAAGTGTTGCACAGCTTGTTTTCATCCACATGGTATGTACTGCCATGAAACTGTATCAAATTTCTGATGGGGGATGGGATGTACAACAGTTATTAATGGAACTAGGTGAGAAACAGTCCTCCACAGGTACATCTAAGACCAAAGACTAACCTCAGCCACATATGCTTTGTACATAATCATTTTTAGCACTTAGCAGAATGTTTTTTCTCCCATAGAAATGAATTCATTTTACTAAAGTGGATAAGTATTATTATCTTCATTTTACAGATGGAAAAACTAGGCAATAAGGGTATGTCTACATTAGGAGTTTTCAGTCCTTTCCCCACAGCTGGACTACCACTCATGCAATTTTACCTGAGCAAGTTTAATTGATTCTGGACCATTCATCTAGTTTGACCTCCTGTATAGACAGGCTATAGAACTTCCCTAAAATAATTCCTAGAGCAGACTTTTAAAAACATATCCAATCTTATATATAACATATACAAACATATACAATCTAAACATTGTAAGTTATGCAGAATCCACCATGATCCTTGTTAAATTGTTCCAATAGTTAATTACTCTCACCGTTAAAAATTTACATCTTATTTCCGATCTGAATTATCTAGCTTCAAATTCCAGCCATTGGATTGTGTTATAACTTTCTCTGCTAGATTGAAGAGCCCATTATTAAATATTTGTTCCCTTATAGTACTTATAGACTGTTATCAAGTCTCCCGTTAGCCTTCTCTTTATTAAGATAAATAGATTGAGCTCCTTGAGTCTATCAACATAAGGCTTGTTTTCTAATCCATTAATCATTCTTGTGACTCTTCTCTGAACCATCTTCAACTTATCAACATCCTTCTTGAATTGTGGGCACCAGTATTGCTCCTGTGCCAAATATAGAGGTAAAATAACCTCTTTACGCTTACTTGAAATTCTTGTTTATGCATCCCAGCATTACATTAGCCCGTTCGGTCACAACATCACACTGGGAGCTATTTTTAGCTAATTATCCACCATGACTCCCAAATTTTTTTTTCATAGTCACTGCTTCCCAGAATAGAGTTTCCCATCCTGTAAGTATGGCCTACATTCTTGTTCCCAGATGTATACATTTAACCATATTAAAACACATATTGTTTGCTTGCGCCCAGTTTACCAAGCAATCGAGATTGCTCTGCATCAGTGACCTGGCCTCTTCATTATTTACCACTCCCACAATTTTTAAGTTATCTGCAAACTTTAGCAGTGGTGATTTTATTTTTTCTTCCAGGGTCATTGATAAAGATGTTAAATAGCACAGGGCCAAGAACCAATCACTGCGAGACCCCACTGGAAGCAGACCCACTCAATGATGATTGCCTGTTTACAGTTACATTTTGAGACCTATCAGTTGACCAGTTTTTAATCCATTTAATGTGTCTGTTAATTTTAATTTATTCTAGTTTTTTAATCAAAATGTTGTGCCCAGTCAAACGTCTTACAGAAGTCTGAGTATGTTACATCAACATTACCTTCATCAATCAAACTTGTAATCTCATCAAAAAAAGATATTAAGTTAGTTTGACAGGATCTATTTTCCATAAACCCAAGTTTATTTGCATTGATTATGTTAGCCTCCTTTAGTTCTTTATTAATTGAGTCCTATATCAGCCACTCCCATAGGCGCTGGCTTCCCCTCTTTCCCGTGGGTGCTCGAGCCCCCTCTACCCCCCGCTCTGCCCCCACTCCACCCCTTCCATGAGGACCTGCCCCTGCCCCACCTCATCCCTGCCCCCATTCCAACCCCTTCCCCAAAGTCCCCGCCCCAAATCCGCCCCCTCCCTGCCAATATTCCAACTCCTTCCCCAAATCCCCGCCCTGGCCCCACCTCCTCCTCACCTCCTCCCCTGAGAGCGCCACGTTCCCACTCCTCCCCCCCCCCCCCCCCCCCCGGGGGGTGCTAACTCTGCCGAACAGCTGTTTGGCAGCGGCCGGGCGGGAAACGCTGGGAGGTAGGCGGAGGAGCGGGGACATGGCACGCTCAGGGGAGGGGGAGGAGGAGGAGGTGGGGCGGAGGGGGAGGGGAGCTTAGCTGCTGGTGGGTGCAGAGCACCCACTAATTTTTCCCTGTGGGTTCTCCAGCCCCGGAGCACCTACGGAGTCGGCGCCTATGGCCACTCCATTATCTGGCTTGGGATCGATGTCAGGCCAACAGCCCTATAATTACTCAGGAGAGCTAGGAATGGAACTCCCAACTCTTAGTACTGTGTCCTGAGCAGTGGGTCACTCTGCCTTCTGCAAAGGTACTCATAAACAATTAGGCTACTGCAGATTAGCATTCAGGCACGGTAGCTGACACTGAGATACCCAATTCTGTATACCTTTTATTTGAGATTAGAATCTGTCTGTAAAATCTCCACTAGTTAAAAGGATAGGAAGTGTAAGGTCACTTCAATATAAGTCACCTGCACAGGAACATAGATTGATGACACTGCAGTGGACTGAAGTCTTTTAAAACAGTATTATGCTTTTATGTATTTGAGAAAGTGTCTGGGTTGGGGTTGCAGAAATGATACCTGAGAGTCAATGTATGTAAAATGAACACAATGAAAAAATATTTAAAGAACAGCTCAATATATGTGATATAGTTTTCCCAGTTACAGAGCCCATCCAGACTGAAGATAGCCACCACTTGTAACTTTTACTGGTGTGCCAGCCTAAGCGAGAATATCTACACTGCTATTTTTAGCCTCATAGCACAAACCCCACTAGCCTGAGTCAGTTGCCCTAGGCTCTCAGACTCGCTCCTGTGGGTCTTTTTTGCAGTGTAGGCGTACCCTCAGAGACAGGAATTCCTGAGTTCTAATCCCAACTCTGAGTCACTTTTCCTCTCTCTGCTTTAGTTTATCTCATCTGTAAAATGATGATGACTGATAATTTTTGCCTGTCTTCATTACAAAAGCGTTGTGAGGTTAAGTTAGGTATTTCCTTGGATAAGTCAGCCTTATACTGTGTCAGCATGTAAGTCTTATGTTATCTAGAAGATGCTTTTTTGTTGGATACAAGTCCTTAAATGCATAGGCTTTGGGTGAAGTCATATATTTTATTGGGTAGTGTAACAAAGAATTTTAAATTCATGTGCCCAGCCCTATTCCAACTGAAGTTACAAATTTCCCATTGACTTCAACAGGAACAAGATTAGGCCATGAGTGAAATATATACAAAATAGACAAACATACAATTAGAACATCTGTCTTTATGTATATATGTTTTGGTTCCAACTAAATTGCATGTACAATGTCTTGTGA